ACTGGTTTGGCTGCACAATTTTAACGTGTTTTTAGATGGGGTTACAATCGAGTATAAGCTTTATGTGGCCTCTCTAGGCTCCCATATGTTTTGCATTAAATTTAGTCGGGCACCATTTGCAGGCGGTGTTGTAATTTCATAATTGTGCATCTGGAAACCAGACTGAAGGAGCGATGGTCATGTATCTGGAACTTGTAAACGCTTTTTAATTAGTGCAATATGTATGGGAGCAGACGAAGGACCAGCCTGGCAGCTCATGCACAATGTTAATGTCACCATATGGTCTAACGTTACTACCGTTTTCTCTGATTTTTGTCGTGACTATCCAAATTTCCCGAAAAATGTTCGTGTCGGTCGAGATCGTAAGTGGGTACAGAATTCAGGTTATATATTTTTATTTACAATTTAAATACAATGTCTTAATTCATGTACATGTATTTATATAATTTTTTTTTTTTTTATTGATATGTAAAAAGAAACGTACGCTATTCAGCCCCTGGTTGCAAGGTTGCATTTTAATTGTTTACGAAATAAACCATCAATGAACAAGTCAGGTGTGTTTACAAACGCCCCGCAACCGTGACTGTTCCCATGACATAATACCACTCTTTTAACATCAACTTACATGTACCTTGGTCACATGGAACGTTCGTTGACAGCATTAGTAGTTTCTGTATGTTTTATATGAATTAAACACTATAATCTCAGAATAAATACAAAATTTCTATTGTTTGAGCCACTGTGACCTTGACCCTTGACCTTTCGACCCCCAATGCAATAGGCTTCTTTGGATTACCAAGAACAATACACAAACCAAATTTGAAGTTCACATGTAAAGTATTTCTCAAGTTATCGCGCTGACAAAATTTCTATTGTTTTAGCCACTGTGACCTTGACCCTTGACCTTTCGGCCCCAAATGCAATAGGCTTCTTAGGATTACCAAGAACAATACACAAACCAAATTTGAAGTTCACATGTAAAGTATTTCTCAAGTTATCGCGCTGACAAGATTTCTATTGTTTTAGCCACTGTGACCTTGACCCTTGACCTTTTGGCCCCAAATGCAATAGGCTTCTTAGGATTGCCAAGAACAATCCACAAACCAAATTTGAAATTCACATGTAAAGTATTTCTCAAGTTATCACGCTGACAAGATTTCTATTGTTTTAGCCACTGTGACCTTGACCCTTGATCTTTTGGCCCCAAATGCAATAGGCTTCTTAGGATTGCCAAAAACAATCCACAAACCAAATTTGAAGTTCACATGTAAAGTATTTCTCAAGTTATCGCGCTGACAAGATTTCTATTGTTTTAGCCACTGTGACCTTGACCCTTGACCTTTCGGCCCCAAATGCAATAGGCTTCTTAGGATTACCAAGAACAATCCACAAACCAAATTTGAAGTTCATATGTTAAGTATTTCTCAAGTTATCGCGCTGACAAGATTTATCCGGACACACACACACCCACCCACACCCGCTTACACACCCATAGAAGTGGGGTACTTCCTTTGTTCTCGTGTACTAAAATTTTGCAATGTCGCACACTAATGTCAAAATGCTCTTATTTTAACCAGAATTAATTTCCTGGGCTAAAATTCAGACTTAATATCCCTTTTCTAAAACTCTTCCATTTGCGACACATCAACCCACCTTGGAAATTCGTAGTTTTTGAGTAAAATCCATATATCTATTTCATGAAAAACTTGTGGGGTACTAATTAAACGGTACCCTGCAAGTTGGTGGGCATTCCTTGTGCGGTGCCTCCCATTGTTCCGTACCCCACAAGGCAGTGGTTGTACACGCACACCCACCCACCCACCCACGGAAGGACAAGGTGGAAACAATATGCCCCTTCGGCTTCGCCGCGGAGCATAAAAAAAAAAAAAAAAAAAACTTACCGAAAATGGGTCATTTGGGAGACATTCCCATAGACTTGTGCACACAATTTTTCAAACTTAAATGTGCCCTAACCCAATATTCCCTTGTCCTTTTTCCACGAATTTTGGTATTTTTACTAATTTGACCACGAGCAACAAATACAGCCTGATTGCAACAGGAAAATTTTGCCTCTAAAGGGGGGCTGTGGAATTAGGGAGACATGAAAATGTCTCCCTAATGACCAGTGTCTCCCTATTGTCGAAGAAATTCCGATAACGTGTCTCCCTAATGGTACGTTTGTGGGAATAATAATAATAATAATAATGTTAAACATGTATCCTGAGGCAAATTTGTCAGTGTTTTTAATAAAAAGATCTAACAATTTATCCCTAAACAGGTTATACAATTAGACACAAACTGATACAGGTTTGTTTCTGTATTTAATGAATTATTTCTTCCTGTCCTTTCATCTTTGCTGTAGCCCAATAGTTTTTGACTCGCCAGCCGGGCTACTGAAAGGGAATATACATCATTTGTGCTGTAATTTTCAGAAATGGATGGAATTGGGGGGTTGGAAATATATAGCAAATATAGTTACACTGACTTTTTTGAGGTTTTGGGTTCGAAAATGCTATAAAAACCAAGAAAAACAATCATTTTCCTGTAGTCTGGTTCCCTGACTCCATATAAGAAGAAACAGAGCAGTTTACATACATTGGGGAATTGTAAGGTCAGGGAACCAGTCTAGCTGGCTCGTACCCGTTCATAGGTTTGTAATCGATTGCAAACAAGTGCGATGGTCAATTGGGGCCAGTATTTGAAAAAAAGCCATTTTTTTTCCAACGCTCATCGGCCGATCAGCGTTGGAAATTGATACAAAAATACCACTTTCTTGAAAATGACAGTATACCAGGTGCCATGATTTTACAGGATGCTTTACACTGTCATTCACTCAGTCCAGCAAGGTATTTCAAAATGATTTGATAATTTTATTTTTTGATGTTTGCAAATGTTGTATTTTCCCTTTAAAGAATAGTTTGACAAGCCCACTACTGTTTTGACTAGCATTTGGTTAGTGTGCTATTGCTAAAGTTGAACCCTGGTTACATGCAAAAGGATGCACATTCTGTGAAATATTTATTTTAAGTGTAGATTCTAGTCTTTACTAGTGTTCACATATTATTTTGTTGTGGACCAAAACTTATAGAGAAACAAATTGTTACCTCATGATCATTTTTTGGAACTGAACAGTTTGATTAAGAGTTGGAGTTCCTATTTTTGATTCCATATACGAGACTGAGAATTGTAGTCCTATGATCATGTCTGGTTCAAACTCGTTCAACGTGAATACCAGTATTGTATGATGAGAAGTACTAGGTGACAGGTTGATTTCTTTTATATTTTTTTCTATGATGAAGAGCTCTTCCCGTACATGATAATTTACATTTAGGTTGATGTTATAAATTTTTAAAGGCTTCCCACACAATGTGTGGTAACGAAAGTGTTATTTACCTGTAGAAAAGTTGGCCATTTTGGTCCGACATCATAGTGATTTGAGAATGTTAGTATTAGTAATGTGGCATGGACCACTGTAACTCTCTGTTTTAGGCTTGGACTACTGGAATGACCATCAAAAACTAGATTGGCCATACCTGAGGTTCCACTAGCTCTTCCACTACGTCCGGGGGCAACCCACCATTGCCCAGACTCAGCCACTTCATCTTGCAAGACCCCACAAGTACATGTATACCCTCGTTTTACTGTGCCAGCAAATGACAAGACTTGTCATTCCCAGCGTCTCTGTCATCAATTGAACTTTTTATCTATCGCTCCACTTCATCATATTTTCTACAACGTTTCTCTTTGACATTTCAACCCGAAGATGGACTCTAGCCTAACCTAAGACGATGGACGTATAACAATTTTAACTGTTCTTACAATTTTGGCGCCCTTTTTTTCTGAGCTCTAATTTTTGTATTTATATTTTACAGGATCCTGTGTTGCATTTATTGCCATTGCTTGGGATTATTTTATTTCTTGCTATAAAACACTCCACTGTACATGTAGATCTTAAATTGTGTTGAGTTGAATTAATATAAAACTTGGTTCCTCTTATTCTGAAATGTGAATTGAGGGTTACACGAACAAAGGTCGGATAACATGGGAATCAGTCCATGAGGGAATAATAAGGGGACAGACCACTGTGGGTGAAGATGAAAGGGAATGGAGTGGAAATCAGAACAAAGAAGTGTGTTGGTGGGTTAAGGACATGGGGGGGGGGGGTTAGCAAGGAGAAAGGAGAGCATATAACTGTGAAAGGGTGATAATTGGCGAGGGGGAGTACTGATGGATGAGACACAGGGGAAAGTGGACAGGAAAAGCCCCTTTTATCACAAACAATTGATGAACTAAATTTGAAACTAAACCTCCCCTCCCCAAAAAATTAAAAAGTTATGAAACTGAAACAACTAACGAACCACAAACAAATAGGCTGTGAAAGATTAAAGGGAAGATACAACATTTGCAAACATCACAAAACGTAATGATCAAATAATCACGAAATACCTTACTAGATTGTTAGGGAATGACAGTCTAAAGCATCCTGTAAAATTGTGGCTCCTGGTGTACTGTCATTTTCAAGAAAAATGGTATTTTTCCAACGCTGGTCGGCCGACCAGCGTTGGAGAAAACTGGCTTTTTTTCAAAAACTGCTCCTAATTTTTCATAATTAGTTATTCCGCGTTTTCTCTGCAATTGTTTGCACGCCCGTGTAGGGGTACAAGCCTGCTAGACTGATTCTCCGACCTTACAATTTCCCAAAGTCATGATTGCTCCATGTTATCTAAAGTGGGGTCAGGGAACCAGACTACAAGAACACGATTGGTTTTCATGGTTTTTCCAGCATCTACCAGCCCAAAACGTGAAACAAGTCATTTCAGCAATATTTGCTATAACATACTAATCCTCCAAATCCATTTATTTCCAAAAATTGCTGCAAAAGCAAATGTTGTACATTCCCTTTAATATAAAAAGTTAGCTAAAATCTGACTTTCATTACCTAAGAATATTTCCAAAACTTAAAAAAAGAAAAGCAGTTGCAATTGCAGATCAATACATACCTTTGAGGTTGGATGGATGAGTGTTGTATTGCTTCTTCATAGATTCATGTGATCTATCATCCTGATCACTTAGGTTACTCACTGATGAACGTGTATCCATTTCTGCAGAGTATTCGTCAACAGTTTGAAGGCTTCTATCTGGGGAGCTGTAACATCCAGGATGAGCACCATCATATGCTCCAGAATCAACAAAACAGTCATTCTGCCCTCCTCGTCTTTGCACAGACCTAATGAAATTGTGTAATGAACTGGTGATAATAGCCATGAGATCCTCTGATGTCACACTTTATTCACGTGTGCGCTTTATTATATAAGTCGAGTGCAGAAAAAGACATTCTTTTGTATGGAGGAAATGCACCTATAGTAAAGCACACCTAAACAAAGCATGATGTCCTCTCAGATAAGTCAGGTAAGATATATTGACTAATTAAATGTCTGTGCCCTGCATTTTATGTCCAAGGTGTATAAATGGGTTACAAATCCAGTACTGAGAGAGCGAGCATACACATTCAAGAGTAACACTTTATTCGTACAATTCCAACATGGCGCGGCCCACTCTTTTTGACTCCAGTGGGCACACTGCAAATAGACTGTGAACGCAACAAATTCCTTATATTTTCTACAAAAGAGAAGGGACACAAAAGAGGACAATTACAAGTGTCACGAACCGTTGTTTAGTAGTTTAAAATGTGGCTCCCAATGCAAAGGAGCTGCAAAGGCAAGAACTTGGTTTGTTCCTGGTCCCTCCATTATAGTTCATGGGCCAGGGCCAGATATTTCACTAATTGGTACCTCCCCAGCGAGAAAATTCTGACTAAATTTTTTTAATGGATCTCTGTCTCTAGTTTGTATTTTGATATGATAACTGTTTGTTGAGAAGGAGTTTGGTAATGGTTTGCAGATGTTAAAGTTAAAGCATGTATGAAATTTGGTAATGAAACAGACACGATAACCTTCTGATTTAATGAGAAAGTATTTGGAAGACAGGACTGATACCAATACCCTGTGAAAACATTCCACCAGAAATGGTATCGTAAAAGAACACAATTATTGAAGATGGTTATTTAACTTGGCTTAACTTGCCTGCATTCAAAGCGGCGAAAACACGAAGCGACTGGAGATGGAGACCACACACACGGGTGGCAAAGCCACGAGGGCCTTTTCTAACTTGTCGAGAAATTCTTATGTTTTTCTTTATAATCTCGATATTTGCTACCCCCAAAAGGGTAGCAAAATTCCAACCAATCATCAGCCTTTTAGTGCGTGCGTGGCTACTATCCAGACGCGTCGATGCGCCCGGATGCTTGCACAAAATTTAAAAACGAAAAATGCGAGTCTAGTTTTCCACGAGATCGTGACCATGTAATTGTTCTTACATTATCTTATTTTAATTTTACTTATAAAAGTATTTCAAGAAATTATTTGAGTGAATTGAACTTATTTTTCATCTGAACTTACAGTTATTTGCTATTACTCTCTCCTTACTCACCCTTCATTTAAAAATGGAAGGGACTAGGCAAAATCCGTGTTGTGATTGGTTAACCTTCAGCACTCTTCTTATTTGCATAAAAACTATGAATAATTCAACAAATCAAGTTGGGAAAGGCCTCGTGCATGCTGACTTAATCTTTGCTCCAGTTGCTTCGGGTCTTCGCAACTCCGCCGCTCTAAGCCAGGATGGCCTGGGCGAAAGGCTACAATACTGGTGGATACGTGCACTTTATAAATACCCATAATTATCAGGGTTTGACCCTAACTTTTTTTTGACTAGCCAGCCAGGCTGCTGAGACTGACTCCTAACTAGCCCGCGGGCATTTTCACTAGCCTGCATGTTTTTCTTTTAGAGAGAGTCTCATAACAACAATGTGCACATAAGAGTGTATCCTGAGGCAATCTTATCAGTGTTTTTAGATCAGATCTAATAATTAACCCAAAACATAAGATAAGATTACACACAAATTGATACAGGTTTCTTTCTGAATTTAATGATTTATTTCTTCCTGTCCTTTCATCTTTGCCGTAGCCCAATAATTTTTGACTGGCCAGCCGGGCTACTTAAGGAATAGTTTGTCTAGCCCGCCGCTGTTTCGACTAGCATTTGGCTAGCGGGCTATCGCTAAAGTCGAACCCTGATTATTATTATTATTTGTAAAATTCTGCAAAGACTACCTATCCAATGGGGCCTTGACATTACTATATACTTACCGGCTAAATGAGAACCATGTCCCAGTTGATTGGGGATGGTAAGATCACAAATATGAAATTGGGACATTTTGAATACTAGCAACGAATAAACTTATGTGGAATAAACCTAATTGTGCCATTGTTTTTTGGGGGTTATCTCAAAGTGCACTGTCTCTACTCAGCTGTAAGTTCAATAGGTTATTTCTTATGCACCCTAACTAGGATTTTAAGCAATTTTATCGCTTCAAATATAAAAGTGCACAAAAAGCAATAATCCTATGATACCTTCAATGATATAGTGTAGATTTGTTATGATGATGTTGTATGTTATATAACTGACATACAGATCCTTGTCATTTGATTGGTGGAACTAACATCACATGACATTCCTTATTGCTCCCATTCACGCCGCGGCTCAAAAAGTCCCATTCGCTCATGGGGAATGGGAAAAACTATTCAACATTTAAGATCATTCTTGTTCCATGATGTGGTATTTGTGTGTATTACGCGTATTGTTCCAAAGAGCAGCGCTACAGAGTTGGGCTCAAACATTTTTCCTGAAGAAGTGGTTTGGAAGACAGAAATACAATTTCCACCAATTTTGTATTGAAATAAAAGTTCAAATATATCAAATGACAAGGATCTATATGTCAGTTATATAAAACAAACACTGAGTGGCTTTAAATTGTAAAATGGGAGGAATATTATTGCTTGGTAAAATCAGGACTTAAGTCCAGATTTTACCTTGCAATATTATTCCTCCCATTTCGCTCTGATCTGATGAGCCACTCAATATTTGTATACAATTGCCGATCTCTAATGTCCGTCAGCCTTTCAATGACCACTGTACGGAGATAGCCCAACAGGGCGTTGTGTATAGTATACAAGCAGAAGCAGAAGCAGAAGCCTTTTCCTCAGCCTTGTGTAGGCCTGCAATGCCCCATCCAGGCGGGTGAGCGGACAGTGCTCCTCTATGTGGTGAATCATTTGAGGCTCACCCCAATCACAGAGTGGTGATGCGGCAGAGCCCCACTTGTATAGGCTGCTGCGGCACGGCCCAGCATCAGTACGAAATCTGTTAAGTAGGCACCACTGGCCCTGTGGTAGGTCCTTTCCCAGGAGCAGGATGCTGGGATCGATAACCAGGACTTTGATTTGGTCCCACCTCGTCCGCCACAGTTGTTCGTAGTAGTGGTGCGGCATTGGGACAGAATTGTGCATTTTGTGATGAAAGCATGAAACTTCGCATGTTGGTTCTTCATGCCATGAATTTCATATCTGACCCCTGCATTTCATATCTGACCCCTGGTGACCTTTAAAGGATCAATGTCCTTTGAATACTCTATTTACATGTATACCTATTGTTCTTGAAAATATCATTTATCTATGACCTAAGTCTATGTATAGTCTTCATACAATGTAAATATCGACCAAATGTGAAAAAAAGATTCACAATTGACCTTTGATGACCTTCCAGAGGTTAATGACCTTTGTATTAACTGCACTAACTCTATTTAGGTACTTATACGATATACCCTTTAAACCCCAATTTTTTTTCAAGCCCCAAGTCATAATGTTAAGTGACTCATGCTATGAAAAGAATTTCATATATAGGGAATCTCATATCTGACCTCTGATGGCCTTCAAGGGGTCAATGAACTTTGTATATCCTATTCATAGATATTAAGAGGATTAACTATTCAAAACACCAATCTTTTATTACCCATATCTAAATTTTGGGTATTCTTGCCATGATTGCCATGATATGAATTTTCAGATATGTAGACATTTTATATTTGACCTCTGATGACCTTTGCGAGGTCAATGAACTTTGTGTACTCTGATTGCCATTTTTTATCATGTTTAATCTTCCAAATGCCATTTTTCATGACCGAAGTCTAATCAGAGCAAAAGGAAAGTAATTTAATAACTAGACATATGTTTGTGGACAAACATAGGGCTGTTTCGGCATTATGTAACAGACTGATAGGTAATGCAGGTGTAGTAAAAAGAAAATGCAAATGTAGAGTTATAGGCTGTAGAAAATGCAGTAAAAAATCAATAAAAAAACAATTAGGTGATGACATCATCGTGACGTCATAGTCTTGGCATAATTTTTGTATGAGGGTCTTCCTTGGCTGTAACTTTGATGACGATTCCAGATCGCCAAGTTATAAAAATGGTGGCTTGAAAACGTATACAAAGTCAATGGGTTAAAAATCCCACAGCAGAGAAACTGCACCTTTAAATACGTGATTTGCCTTTAAACTGAAACATTTTTATCAAATATTACTTGATATTCTGACTCTGGGGAATATTTTCAATCAAATGGCAAACGTAAAAAAATACGATTTCTTTTCCTTCTCATAGTAATTCTCGGCCGAAGTTCAGAACTACTCAGTAAGATATATCAGTGTTGTAGGAAAAGACTTGTGGAGAAAGCTGTGTACAAAGTCTAAGAAAAAATTAATAATTCATGAATCCATAATAAATCACTTGATGATGACGTCATCATGATGTCATAGTCTTGGCATAATTTTTGTATGAGGGTCTTCCTTGGCTGTAACTTTGATGACGATTCCAGATCGCCAAGTTATGAAAAGGTTGGCTTGAAAACGTGTACAAAGTCAAAAGGTTAAAAATCCCACAGCAGTAAAACTGCACCTTTAAATGCGTGATTTTCCTTTAAACTGAAACATTTTTATAAAATATTACTTGCTATTCTAACTCTTGGGAATATTTTCAATCAAATGACAGGCGTAAAAAAAACTAGAGCTGTATGTCTGTTTGCAAACAGAACACAGGGCTTTTTCGCATTTTACAAAAATTTGTTTCGTTTGTCCTTTTTGCAGACACTTTTCAGAGTGCTTCATGCAGTTAAAGGTTGTTCAAAACGCTTAAAATATTTCCTAAAATATAATTTTATCGAATGATGTCACTTGCCCTGCAATGACTTCATCCTTAAGACCCTTCTCAATGCACATTTTATCATCGTGATTTTGGTTGGAACCAAGTTTAATGTCAATCTGATGAAAGAAAGTGTGCAATTTGTGGAAGCAGAATAAAATTATAAATATCTCAAAATTATAAAAACCAAACAATGACGTCATCGTGACGTCACTTTAAACTCTGTATACTAGTACCATTATTCACCTACCCACTAAGTTTCATGACAGTCAGACCTTTCCTTATATGTATTTTGAAAAATCGCATTTTTATGACGTCATAATGATGTCAGATATTTTTTTCAAAATTTTGTGCAAATACCTTTTACCTAACAGAACAAATACACAAAGAATTTTGAATTTTGCATGTTGCGTTCATGAGATATGGCTAAAAGGTCAAAAACTAATGGTGGCTTGAAAACGTGTACAAAGTCAATGGGCTAACACGTGTACAAAGTTAACGGGCTACAAAAAATCCCACTGCAGAAAAATTTCACCCTTAAATTTGTAATTTGCCTTTGAACTGAAACATTTTTATGAAATATTACTTGATATTCTGACCCTTAGGGATATGTTCAATCAACTGACAGGCGTAAAAAAATTACGATTTCTTTTTCCTTCTCATAGTAATTCTCAGCCGAAGTTCAGAACTACTCAGTAAGATATATCAGTGTTGTATAGGGAAAGACTTGTGGAGAAAATTGTGTACAAAGTCTATGAGAAAAATTAATTATTCATAAATCCATAATAAATCACTTGATGACGTCACCATGACGACACTCCTTGGGACACATCTTGGCTATAGGGACTATGCTTATGCCAACTTTCAATGATATCTGACAAAGATTAATGCCAAAAGTGTTATAATACGTCCCTGTCTATACGCATGCATGAACATAAAATCTGTCAAAGTTAGCCGAAAATCGGCTAAAACGGTCACTGTGGACAGGATTTGACCTCAGCAACACGTGCGCTGCAGGCTGACTGACATACGATGTATTTGCCTATGTACAACGTACGTGCAAGTACATGTACATTGTGGACGTCCTGTCCTGTGCATGTTTTGAAGCAGAGGTATTGTCATTGTGAAGTTTTAAGTGTGCGCAGGGTATGTTCGAGTTCGCTTATCGCCTCGAAACTTTGAAATGTTTTAGACCTACTCTCCAATCAACAATTAAAGTAAAAACAAATAAAAAAACTGCCATGGTTGATTTTTCAGGAATTTTCAAATGAAAAAGGGTCTTTTTATTATAACTTCCGGTCTGATGACGTCATTCGCCTAAAACTTCGTACACGTCTTAAGTGGGTCAAGTTCATCATATACACCAATATTTAGGCGATTCTGACAAACTTCGCCACAGACATCTATTCAAAATACATTTTTGCTAATTTTTAACCTGTCGCGAGAGGGCGCTCGAAGATTGCATGACGTCATCGGTAGATAATTTGAAGAACACTATCAGCCAAGAGACTAACACCGTTAAAAGCAAATTCCTATCTATTACCACTTTCAAATAATAAGCCACTTCCGGTTTTGGCCTTTTTCGACCGGAAGCAAGGGTCATGTGATTTCACGCACACTGAATGAAATAAAGACCTCAACCTAATCTACCACTTGCCGGCAACAGAATGCTGCGGACGCGTACGGTTGATTTCTTATGCATTTTTAAATATTAAAAGTGTCAAAATTTAATTGCCTATAAATAAACACTGGATGACGTCATCATGACGTCATCATTACACAATGTTGTTTGAATTAGGGTCTTTGCTTGGACAAAGAGTGGTGTAAATGAATTACTGGCAAAGAGTCGAAAATGCCCTTTGAAAATCGACATTTTTTTTAAAATTTCTGTGTACAAAGTCTATGGGAAAAATTAAATATTCAAATTTCTATAATAAATCGCGTGATGACGTCAGCATGACGTAATGATTCGGCACACATCTGCAGGTGATGTTCTAAGTATGTGCCAGGTTTGAAGGAAATCGGAATTGTTTTAAGGCCAAAAGTGGCGTGTAGAAAAAACGTGTACAAAGTCTATGGGATTTTGTGCAAAAAAAAAGTGGAAGAAGAAGAAGAAGAGGAAGAGGAAGAGGAAGAGGAAGAGGAAGAGGAAGAGGAAGAGGAAGAGGAAGAGGAAGAGGAAGAAAGAAAAAAAATCAAGGCTTTTTCGCAAGAATTGCGAAAAAGCCAAAAAAAAACCAGAACAAAAAGAAAGGCTTTTTAGCAAAGTTGCGAAAAAGCAAAAAAAACAGAACAAAAAGAAAGGCTTTTCCGCAACTTTGCGGAAAAGCCAAAAAAAAAACAAAAAAAAAAATGAGAACAAAAACAAAGGCTTTTCCGCATTATGCAGAAAAGCCAAAAAAAGTAAAAGAAAAAAATTAAAATCTTAACAAAAACAAAGGCTGTTTCGGCAAAAGTGCCGAAACAGCCAAAAAAAGGGAAAAAAAGAAAAAAAAACAATAAAACTTTAACGAAAACAAAGGCTGTTTCGGCCGGTTGCCGAAACAGCCAAATAAAAAAATTAAAATCTTAACGAAAACAAAGGCTGTTTCGGCAAAAGTGCTGAAACAGCCCAAAAAAAAAAAAAAAAAAGAAAAGAAAAAAATAAAAATCTTAATGAAAACAAAGGCTGTTTCGGCAAAAGTGCCGAAACAGCCAATTATTCTACAATGTGTCATGAAGTCAGACCCCAAAGAATATTTGTGCATGACCTCCGATCTCAATTTTCCTATTGATGTACCCACATCTGAAAATTATTTTCATGGTACCAAGAGTCAAGCTTTAGACTTGGGTCGTGAAAAAATGGCATTGACAATTATAAAAATTTTATCAATATCCATATGTAAGCTATTGTTTTAATAAGTTCATGACCTCTCGTAAGGTGACCAGAGGATGAATATGAAATGACTTATATATGAAAATTCTCTTTATAGCATGAACACCTTTCATTTAGACATGAATCGAGAAAAAAAGATGCAGTTTAAAGAATAAATCTTACAAATAGCTATAAACAGTTTTACACAGTTCATTGACCTCTCAAAGGTCACCAGAGGTCAGATATGAATTTGTTCACATCTGATCATTTTTGTCATTGTATTAAGACCTATGACATAGACTTGGGTCATCAGAAAGTAAACTTTTGAAGAACAAAAGTTATGAAAAGTGTATGCAAAGTTTGTTGACCTCTAAATGTCACCAGAGGTCAAATATGAAATGCCTCCATATCCATGGCATGAAGAACCAATATGCGAAGTTTCATGCTTTTATCACAATTTGCACAATACTTAAGCATATTGTGGCTATGCCGCACCACTAGAAGGGATTATGTTCATCAAAACAGCTACTGAAGAAATGTGTTCAAAGTATTAACACCTATGCATCGTCATACTGAAGAGTCAATTCTATGAGTACGAAGATGGTTCATAAAATTGATGTGGGCCTGGATGGATTTTGTACAATATGGACAAGGGATTATGGCCGCAGCAGAGGGAGGGTCCCTGGCACGAGCTTTCCTGGCCTTTCTCCGTCTTCTGCTGCCGTTGTTATGGCTGCCTCACATGCCATGCTTGTGGATAGATAAACACCATACAGCATGGTCTTGAGTGGTTTGTTCCAAGGTTTCTGGACTGATGCCCAAAGCTCTAAGCGATGTCTTGAAGGTGTTTTTGAAGCCTTTCTTTTGGCTGCCACAGGAGCATTTTCTGTGAGGTAGCTCGCCATAGAAGAGCCTTTTGGGGAGCTGATGGACAGGCATACGAACTAATTGGCCTGTCCAACGAAGCTGAGCCTATAGGCTGTATCATCATTGTTTGGATGCTTGGCAGGTCTGCTCTGGGAAGAACTTCACTGTCTGGAATATTGTCTTGCCACTTGATGTTGAGTAGCTTCCTAAGGCAGACTGTGTGGAAGTGGTTTAGTTTCTTGGCGTGGCGCTGGTACACTGTCCATATTACGAACGTATAAAGCAGTGTAGAGAGCACAATTGCCCTATATACCTTCCACTTTGTCCACAGGCTTATAGCTCTTCTATTCCAGACGTTAGTGTGAGGCCTGCCGAAGGTGTCACAAGCTTTGGCAATCCTGGTGTGCCCATTGCGTAATACAGGGCCCTTGAATGGGCGGATTTTGAAAACACTAAGGCGGAAGATTAGGAGTGAGGTTTACTTTGTTGCAACATAAGAATGTGTTAACATCCTTTCAAGTTTTCTTTACATCACACTTGAAATAGACTGCAGTATTTAATTTGTCCTTACTGTGTTATGTTTTGCACAAGAAAAATATTTTGAAATGCTCAAAAACACATGAATTAATACTTACATGTCGGTCTTCCCAACGAATTGAATAGCTGACCTGAGAAGAAATTTAACTGCCTCTACTTTCCCATATAGGCATGCAACCATCAGTGGGGTATCACCACTTCGACTCCGAAGGTTGTGATCAAATTTTGCCTGTGTAAGAAGTGTAAGCAAGAAAAAAGACAATTATTCAAGTCATGCATTCCACACACTGTCCATCTTTTGAACAGTTTGGCTAAGGTATCTGCTGCTACATCAGATTCGAACCAGCCACCTGACCCGGGCAAGCTCGGTGGTTGACTGGCAAGATGTCTGCACTAATGATGTGCATCGGGTCGGGTCGACCAGGCCAAACCGACCCGAAACATTAGAGATATAAACCGAATCCAAATCGAAACCGATATTAACTCCCTCGAATCGACACGACCCGAAAAAAATAAAAAAAGACCTAATACCTGGCTTGGACAAGTGATCACTTTTTTTGTGCCTGCCCTTACCCACGTGGTATGAATTCTTTTGCAAAACCATCGTCTCTCTCTCTCTGTCATATTCCGTGGGTTGATTGAGAGTAACTCCGCTATAACATTGAACAAACGCATAGTATCACCACGCGGTATCATGAAAACTGTTACAATCTATCTATTTCACTGTCAGTCCCGATCTGACTGGAGAAATAAATACCGTGGGAACTTGATATTTATTTCGATTTATATCGGTTTATTTCGGTTTATTTCGCGTTTTTTTCGTTTTTTTTTCAAAAGATGGCTAAACCGACCCGACCCGACCCGAAAATGTAAATGCAAAACCGAAACTGACCCAACTCGAGTGAAAAGATGGACAAACCGACCTGAACCGACTCGAAGTTGGTTTTGGGTCGGGTTGGTTTCGGTTAGGGTTTGCACTAGTTAAGAGGAGGTTGTAGGTGGAGTCTTACCTTAGAAGTTCTCTTGTGACAACACTCAGCATACAGTGTTTATAAAAAAAACTATGTCGGAGAAGGGTGAAATCCAATAGTAAATTTAAATTACCCTAACGCAAATTCCATCTTGTAGATGAATGGTCCAAATTTGATGAAGAATATGGTATATCACTCCCAAGGGCGGATCCAGAACACAATTTTTTTTTGGGGGGGGGGGGCCCAAACAAAATTTGTGTCTCCCAAAAAGTGGGTCAAAAAATTACGGTGTGGGGTTTGGGGCCCGCTTAAGGGTCCCCAAATTTTTTTGGATTCTCGATGCTCTGTGGTGCAATCTGAGGCAATTTCTGACCACTTTAGCCAATGTTTTTTGAGGAAAAGATGGTGGTGTACTAATTGCCTGCCTTTATTGCGACGTCATATAAAATAAAACCAATTTGTTTCGTTTTTTTGGGGGGGCCATGGCCCCCTTTGGCCCCCCCTGGATCCGCCCTTGATCACTCCAGGGATTACAAACTATGGGTGGAAATGCAAAACTCATTGCTGCACTGTGTATTACCATGTAGAACATTGCATAATAGACAAAGTATGTACAACACAAGCATATTTTAATTTAGATATTGGAAACCTGAAACAGAGAAAGATGTGGGTTTTTTTCATTCAATTCCATGTTCTGTTCCTTTCTTGTGGGTAGGTCAACTAGAACAGGCATGAAGAAGGCTGCGACATCGTACAATTTCAGTTCCTCATCTCAACATATAATATACTGTAGAGCAAAATCTAATAAAAATACCAACGCCTCCAACAAGATAGGATGTCATGACACCTTTTACTTTGGCTATATCCAAATTTCTGGACTGTTGCTGGCACCAGTAATGCACATGATGGAATCGGAAGCTTGCTTGTTAGGTTGGTGTTTTATTGTCGCCCATAGCCAAGTACTTTGGACAGAACCTACATTTCAGTTTTAATTTGTATTTCTTTTAAGTTAAAGAAAAACTACCTGCCAAACTTTGATGAGCTGATGGACTCCTCTGGTTCCTTTTATGTATGCTGCAATTTGCTCTGCACGTCTTCTTTGGTGATGCTCAATGAGAACTTGAACCCCTTCAAATTCACAACACTTGTAGAGCTGTCCTTGTGAGTCAACAAGAGCTGAGCTTGCACCGTGTGACAATAGAAGTTTCACAATGCGACTGAATCCTTCAGGAAGAAAAGGTATAACTACTGACATTTCTATGTAAGTTTACCTCAAAACCTGCCCATTTTACAAAAACACAGCACAAGTATAGGACCTACAACATGTGTAATGTCCTATTTTTGGCATTTATTTAGTGTCCTGATTGGGACAATAAGTGGCAATATATTGGTATTTCGAAAGAAAAGAAAGCATTACAATTCACAACATATTAAAAATAGTGTGATATGATGACTATTAAAAATGTTTGACCTCAACATCTGTTTAATCGTTCATGCACATAACAAATGGGTAAATTCAAACACGGGAGTCTGTCACTAGACAAGTCAGTGTTTGGTACCAAGACATTCACATAAAATTAAACGTGGACTGGGCAAGACTTACGTGCTTTATAGAAGTCAAGCTATTCTTTGCAAATTATTGGGAAATTAACTCACATGAGTATTGCTTGTTGTAACTAATATATATTTCATACCTTAATCAGATGGAAATATACAAATATAACATGTTTGAGAGTGGATAGTCAATATTAGCTACATGAGGTATTGGAACTAGTTTGTCAACTAATCTGTTCAATTTATAGGGGAATTTATTCACACCAGTATTGCTTGTTGTAACTGTGACGTATATTCCATGCCTTCATCAGATAGTTATATACAAATATAACATGATTTGAGAGTGGATAGTTGATATGTGCTCCCTGAGGTATTTAAAGTTGACAAACTAGTTTGTCAACTTATAATACCTAGGGAAGCTAACATCGGCGATACCAGTCTTACGGCTGCCAAGGCTTTGCATCATGCATCTGTAGATGCAAACGCTTGTGTTACACCTTGCACTCACCAAGGTTACTTTCGACTTGGATTTTAGCCGAGCAACACAACACGTGGTCTACGGGTCTACCACGGGCTACCATGGTCTACCACGGCCGATTTGGCCACAACGGTGACGTGGCATGTTATATTAGTGTGACTCAGCGTGACTTTTTCGTGGGTCTCGGTATCGACCAATGCAAGCCCCCTGGAAAGGTTGACATTTATTAATAACTTGTGAAAAGAGGGTCGTACAAATTTTTACTGCACACCAGCCAAAACAGCCTTTGTTTTCGTTAAGATTTTTTTTTTTTCTATTTCAGTCATTCTGGCCCGTTGCATTTGTACACGTTTTTTGTTCCCGTCACTTCAGGCACTAAAATCAATCCGATTGCCTTTATACCTGGCACACACTTAGACCACCACCCACAGATGGTCGCCGAACATTGATGTTATCATGACCTCATCGAATGTCACGTGACGTCACAATATAGGTGCAAATTTTGAAGGCCCATATCTACAGAACTATAGGTCCGGTTGGGTTGAAACTTGGTATGTAACTAAGCCGGGATATGTTATAGATAAAAACTGAAATGACGTCACGATGACGTCATCACTTGACACGTGACATCATGTTCAAATTGCGTATTTTGAAGGCCAATTTCTACACAGAGACAGGTCTGATTGGGTTGAAACTTGGTATGTACCTAAACCGGGATGTGTTATAGATAAAAACTGAAGTAACGTTAATATGACGTCATCAGGTGACCCGTGACGTCATATTAAAAGTGCATATTTTGAAGGCCCATATGATATCTACAGAACTACAGGTCCGATTGGGTTGAAAGTTGGTATGTACGTAGACCGGGATATGTTATAGATGAAAGTTCAAGTGACGTCACGATGACGTCATCACGTGACATGTCACGTCAAATTGAAAGCGCATATTTTAAAAGCCAATATCTACAGAACAATAGGTGTAACTTGGTGCGTACCTAAACCGGGATGTGTTACAGATGAGAATTTATGTGACGTCATGATGACGTCATATTAAAAAACTGTATATTTTAAAGGCCAATATCTCCAGAACTGCAGGTCCGATAGGGTTGAAACTTGGTATGGAACTAAGCCGGGATATGCACGATGACGTCATAATGACGTCACCTCAATTTTTACCTATAACACATCGCAGTCTACCTACATACCGAGTTTTAACCCAATCGGAATTACAGTTTTCTCAATAAAAATCTTAGAAAAAATGTACATTCATGATGACGTCACATGCCCCGTGATGACGTCATCGTAAAAATACTTGGCAGTGTTCAGTATTTTATTGTGGTTTTAGTCAGTACAAAGTTTGAGGCCAATCAGATAAATAAAAGTCTTAAATTGTGTGAGCAGAATAAAATTGTAAATATTTAAAAATTCGAAAAAAATATACCGATGACGTCATCGTGACGTCATTTCAGATTCTGAGTACTAGCACTATTATCTACATACCTACCACGTTTCATGACAATCGCCCATTCCCTTATATGTGTTTTATTTGATGACGTCATAATGACGTCACACAATTTTCGCAATTTTGTCAATATACCTGTTACCTAACAAACATAATACAAAAAGAATTTTGAATTTAGCATATTGCGTATGTTAGATAAGGCTTAAAGATCCAAAACTTCAAAATTCGATATAAAATCACACGATGACGCAACGTCTATAACACATCCCAGTCTACCTACATACCGAGTTTCAACCCAATCCGACTTACAGTTTTCTAGATATAGGGTCTTAAAGTTTGCACATATAAGATGACGTCACGTGACCCATGATGACGTAATCATGACGTCACTCTTCGGGACACAATGTCAATATGGGGTCTTTACATGGGACATGTTTCATTAGAATACGAGTTTGTTTAGGGTCCAAAATGCCGTGGTTAAAAAACGTGTACAAAGTCTATGGGATTTGGGGTGGTAACAAAAAGAAAAAAAAAGAAAAAAGAAAAACTAGAGCTATGTCTGTTCGATGAACAGAACATAGGGCTTTTCCGTATTTTTTTTTTTGGGGGGGGGTGTGTTTTGTCCATATGCAATTAGATACCGTAGTTAGAGGACTAAATTCTTCACATACATGTATAGGACTTCAAAATTTACACCTTTTATGTCCCGCAATGACGTCATCGTAACACCACCATAAATCCCATGAAAGAAAGTGTAACATTTTGTTAAGACCAAGATATTTCCTGTCTTCAAGCAGAACTTAGATCCATCTGCTCAGAAGCTCGTTTTGCGCAATTTACCAGTGAGATCGATACTGGTTTATCTAAACTTGAATCTGTTCTTAATTGCAGGAGAAATGGTAAGATTGGTCGTCTTGTCGCCAAACAGCAACAGTACAGACAGCAACGTTTCAAGCGTAACATACCCCCTGAGGCTGAGCAGTCAGCCCCTCCATCCACAGTTATTAACCTCTCATCATCTACCCTTTCAGACTCGGAACACAGCCTGCTCTCCAAGGGACTCAACTTCTGCCCCACTCCCCCCACAGTCAATCAGGTTGAGCTCAGTCAGGACCTCACTGACTACTACCGCAGAATTCGCCTTCGTGAATTCTTCCTTGACTCACCACCCATGGATCCAGAGCCATTTTACTGCAAGAGTAAATGGGCACCACCAAAGAACCGTGTTCCTTCCCTTGAAACTTACATACAGTTTGTTAGTTCACAAATTAATTCTCTAGAGAAGAACGTGAGGCCCTTAAGACTCTACGAGCACGGAAGGACATCATCATCAAACCAGCTGACAATGGCTCTGCTGTTGTTGTCATGGGCCGTCAGCAATACATCGATGAAGCCATGAGACAACTCAACAACCAAACTAACTATAAACCCCTTGACACTGATCCAACAGGTACCTTTTCAAAGGAGATTCAACAGACACTGGACGAAATGCATGACCGTGACCACCTCTCCAAGAAAGCTCACAAGTTTCTTTCCCCAGTCGATTGTAGAACAGCTAGATGTTACCTTCTTCCCAAGGTACATAAACCAGATAACCCAGGGAGACCCATCATATCTGGCAATGGTTCCCCCACTGAGAATATATCTCTTTTTGTTGACAGTTTTCTCAAGCCTCTAGTGCCACAGATTCCATCATATATTCATGACACTCCTGATTTCCTCCGTAAAATCTCAGGTATTCAGAACCAGGTCCCCAACACAGCTATCATCAGTACTTTTGATGTGTCCTCTTTGTACACCAACATTCCCCAAGATGAAGGGATTGCTGCCTGCTCTTCAGCTTTGGCTAAAAGCAGTCACACCTCACTGCCCATTTCTGATATAGTATCCCTCATGAACCATGTTCTAACTAAAAACAATTTTTCGTTCATGGGTAAGAATTTCCTACAGGCACATGGCACCGCTATGGGTACACGGATGGCACCATCAATGGCCTGCCTATTCATGAGCCAACTTGAACAGCGCATGTTGGCGTCAGCCCCGTGCCGTCCCTGGGTCTGGTGGTGCTATATTGATGACATCTTTTTCATCTGGACCAGTGATGAATCTAGCCTCACAGCATTCATTAATCACATCAATTCCTTCCATAGGACCATCAAATTCACAACCGAATACTCAACCAAGGATACCCACTTTCTGGATGTCAAGGTTCTAAAGACGGATGATGGTTTGATCACAGATCTCTTTGTTAAACCCACAGATAAACACCAATATCTCCACTCAACCAGCTGTCATCCCCGACACTGCAAAACCAGCATAGCCTACAGTCAGGCCCTCAGACTGCGTCGAATCTGTTCTAATGATTCCGATTTTATCCACCACTCACAGGAACTTAAGAAACACCTCGTCTCCCGGGGTCATAGCTCCCTGGCAGTCCATCGAGCAATCCAGAAAGTCAAGGCTCGCTCCAGGGAGTCAGTACTTTCAAAAAGACCTGTGCAACAACAGAGTTCCTAGGAGAAAGTTCCCTTTATTGTCACTTTCCAACCCTCACTTCCCCCCATTCATACAATAACCAGTTCTAACCATCATATTCTTCACACATCAGATCGACTTCAACGTGCTGTACAAGAAGAACCCATAGTTGCCTACAGACGGCCACCCAGTCTCAGGGATCTCATTGTCCGGGCAGAAGTCCCCCCCCCCTTTAATGATAATGTTAACCCCCCTT